GTTTACTTGTTTTTTAAAAGTGTCAGACACATTATTTTACAGGAGTCACGCAGACACACATTTGTACGGCTATCTTTGCATTCCAGAGCCCTTTCGCCTACCCTTAACCATCACGACTACATGCCTAAATCCAACCTAACTCTAACCCAGTGGTTGTCCACCTTTTTTGGGTGAACGCCCCTTTAAGTTGAGTAGAAACCTCATTCTTGCACCTCCCCACCCCAGCCAACCTCCCATGCTTACAAACTGGATGTTGTACCACTAAGGCCGTCGCTTAATCAAATCACTATTTGTTATGAGTGGCAGTTATTGCTAAATATGGAAAAGGACTGAGAGCCACTAGGTATAAGTAGGGGATTAACATATAATTAACTCACACAGAAAATGATTTACATTACCTATTTACACTATTTACACTTATTCAAAGGCTTAACACACACACACCTACTTCATCAGTGCCCACCTTAGTCATCTTAATGTGCCCTTCACCACTGCCAGGCAGAGAATCACTACTCCAACCTAAACCTAATTGTTAAACCTAAAACCTAGGCTTAACCTTCGAACATCCCTTGGAAGGCGTGAGGACAGGCCTCACTGTCTCTAAATGTCCTCACTCCCATGGTATGAAACTCTAATTGGTTCTCACGCTGTATAGTCATACAAGTACACAGACACGCTCACACAGCAAGTAGGTCTATAAATCCAGCCTAACAGCAGAATGTGGTGACAGATTCAAGGTTCTGCACCAGAGGGCTGCACCTACAAAGCACATCACCTCCCAAATTTATCTCCTCTCCGTTCCTTGTATGCACAGGTCTGTCTAAACACACACAAAAACATACACACTGACAAGATTTACACAGCTACAACTGCTCACATCTGAATTTAAAAGTTACAATAAACAAACACACCATCTTGCCCGCAGGCCCACAGCTATATACACGTGTCCACTTACAGTCACACCCCAGCCACACACACAAACACATCGCTACAGTCATGAAAGCTGTCACGTCTATTTCAAGTGCTATTTTTATCCAAAATGACAAAAAAGACACATACAAAGACACCTAGGAGATATGATATTTTAAACATTTTTGCAGCTCACGTTTTGATGCCCCAGCAGCCCAGCAGCCCCCCTGCGACCCTGTTCAAGATAAGAAGTATAGATAATGGATGGATGGATGGTTTTTAGCTGTGAACTGGGGAAGACTGGATTCTATCCATCTTACTACTGGAACTTAGAGACATTAATTCCTCTGAGACATATTAAAGTTTTACATTGCCAATGATATTTGTAAATGTTTTAATTACTGTGGTTGTGTGTGTGTGTATGATGGTTGTTCTTAGTTAAGGAACTGTCTTGCCGTGGCCTAGTGTCTATGACATTTGATCTCAGCTCTCTCTTTGCAAAAGAGATCTTGGTCTCAATAGATTTCCTAAATAAATAAAGCCTAACTTACAAATAACTAATTAGACATTATTTTATTGTACTGGCTGTAATAGTGATATTACAGTATTATAAGTTGTATGTAAGCACTTGCTAATTCTATTTTCTTTTTAAGATACACTCCAACTGAACTGAAGGTGTCACCAGCACCTACTACAAATCAGACTTATTGGCGAAGTACATGGAACACACATGGAATATGACTCCAGCACAGATGCTAATGGGGATCCAAATAAAGAATAATAAACCAAAGCAAAGGCCTGCTTGGAAAGTGGGAAATCCATCTAAAAACCTATAATTTGAAACATGTACAATATGTAGGTTATTTGTAGTTATCCACCCAAAACATGGAAACATGCCCACTTTTCAGGAACTGAGAAACAGTCTTGGTTAGAGCTTGATGACAATGCATTTTCCTGTCAGGGCATTGAAGGAGTTTCATCAGAGAGATAACAGAGAATGTCCTCAATAACCCAGAGACATTGTTAAATTACATAAATCTGAGTAATGAAGCAACATGAGTTAACTGTGCTCTAAGTTTTCAACCAGGGAGCCAGAGCCCATGGTACTGTTTTACTCTATCTGTTGAGCTAGTAATGAGTTTGAACTAAACCCTGCTCAGTAACTGGCATGTTAAACTCTCGTCACTCAGAAACTATTCAGTAGCAAAACTCACCAGAGATTAGACGATTCAATGGTGGAACAACAATGGATGACTGACTAAAAGAACCAACGGGTCCTTTTTATGTTCTCACTCTTCTGGTAATAGCTACAATGATTCCATCAATCAATGTGTCTTCACGCCAGGAAAGAAGAAGAGAGATGAAATGCAACAGGAAAAGATGGGGGTGGGGGTCAGGAAACGAAGTCAGAGATATTGTGACACACAGGGCTTCTTGGTTTCTTTCTGAAACTTGATGAATCAGACCTGGTGTCTATGCACACACACACATACACACATCAAGTCAACCCAACCCGTCATGACTGCATGCGCCAATTCACACCATCATGGCTTGAAGGAAAAAGCTGGACCAACCCCTTTAGACGCTCATATATACTATGATATCGAAATGCATAGAGGTTAGCAGGTTTGTGAAAGTCAAATTTGATCCCTGGCCTTGTAGTCAGATGGAAGAAGATGGGAGTGCACTCTACTAACCAATTTCCACAGGAAAACTAGGTGGGTGTCATCCATATACTTTTGGCCAATAGCATATGTGTGAAGGTCTGTGGTTACTTTTCAGCAGCAACTGAACTAATTTTCCAGGAAGAGATATCCATGTATGTGGAAGGCTTCCTAAATGGTATAATAGCTGATTAGTTTTAAGTCCCACTGAGTAGTGGAAACATCAGTCCCTTTCAAGTAGCTCCAAGGTCGGTAAATCCAACTGGTGGTCGCTGCATCTTCCCCCACATGACCACATACAGTCCCAAAGTAGTGAAATTAATTCCAACAGGTAGAGTAGCATGGACAATAACATCATGGGTTGTTAATCCGCTCATTAACCCACAACACATGACATGCTGCAGACACACTGACCTCAAGTGGGTCAAAACAAACAGGTACTGTGCTCCAGAGGAATCCAGCATTGATGAGCTGATCATTCACTGTCCCATGGGGCTTCACAGGCCGGCTGCTTGTAGGTTAGACCCAGTCAGGTAAAACAGTGAGCCCCAGGAACATTCCTGGACATGCAGTAACCTCAGGCCCTGTATTTTTTTCCGCATCCTCTGGTCACAGTGCAGCAGCAGAAGGTCAAATAGATCCACAGAATCACACGCAGTCAAAAAATTCTGCTTTCATATTGGCACCGGTGGGTGTCAGGCAAGCTCACATGAACGCGCAACTGCCTCAAGATTATGACCATTCAAGGAAATCCTTAAACTATCAGGAGACCTTTTTTCAGACAATATAAAGTCTCACGAGTGAGTTTGTGACACGTGTATAAACCGAGCTGCTTCTGCATAGAAGTACTAGAGCATACCCACACCTGGTGGAGACTCACGTACCTCCAGTGATTCGAGTACCACGATTTGAAATCACTGCTGTAGAGGGTTATGGGAGACTGAAGCTAATCCCAGATGACAGTGGGTGAGAGGTGGGGTACACCCTGGACAGGTTGCCAACCTATCACAGGGATGACACTTAGAGACAAACACTGACACCTATAGGCAGTTTAGAGTCACCAGTCAATATAACATGCAAGTCATTAGACTGTGGAGGAAGCTGCAGGACCCAGAAGAAACCCACATAAGTACAAGGAGACCATGGCCTGGGTAGGCGGTCAGATTCTAATCCAGAGGCGACAGTGCTAACCACTGCACCGCTGTGCCACCTGATATGTGGACAGTTTATCAAAAATAATGCCTACTTGAAAATTAACTGCAATAAAACACACTTGGCAGGCGTGATCGACTGGCCATCTCAGTTCATTAACAAGCTCTTAGATGATTTACTGGTGGTTCTGAAGTCTCCATAGTGTTTTACACATAAGATGGAAGAAGAACTTGAGTCTCAGAGTCAAAATCTAACATTTGCTGCTAGTCATATTGGTTTGCCTGAAGGTTACTTTAAAGGTGGAATTTTCATGTAAACAAACATTGTGTTTTTTTTTTTTACCAAAAGGCTGTGTGTGTATTCTTTGAAATGTATTTCCTTAACTCATAGTTTGCTAGCTTCAAATCATCTTTCTTGCCCTTGTTTATGTTAAGGCCAGTTCACAGCTTCTGCATCTGTGTGGGCGAGGGTCTCTACAAGCTCCCACCCATAATGTCAATTTCATCATCTGGCCAAGTCCATGCAGAACCCTGTGCAGACATGTCCCTGCAGCTCAAAATGCATGACCACGCAGACAGTCCACACTATAAACACATCAACTGCTCCTGCACCAGAAAGGTAAACCCGATGCTTCTTTCATAAACTGTATGTATTTTCATTCCCCATCCTTGGTGCTCTATGTATTAAGTAGTCACACACCATTTTTCATGTTGCTCTTCTAAAATACAACAAACAAAAGAGCTCCTCGGCCATCTGGAGGTCACCATCATGTTTTCTAATGTGCCCGTGTGGAATAGGTCTGCACACGTACATACTGTACGTCCAGTTATAGAATCCCTAATTGTACTTTGTGTAAAAGTGCGTGTGCATCCACAGTCGACAGCTGTCTGCATCCATCGTGGAGTATGATCAGAGCTTTACTGCCACCAGTATCAGCAGAACAATACCTATCATGATGGCTGTAAACAAGCTAGAATAGTGCTGCTTCTGTATTGTTGGCTCCTTTTATGAAAATGTCATGTATCAACTTGAATTAATACATAAATAAACATACATGCACAAAAGATACATTCTATATTTACAGTAGAAAGAAAGGCCTCTTATTTGTAGCTGCCTGTTTCTGTGCCAGCAAAGAGAATTTTTAATAATAAAAGCATTTCCCAGACAGTGAAAGAAAGAAATTCAGAGAAAGAGAGCTAAAGAGATGAACACAAAAAGGAAACACAAGAAAGGGCATTAGTTAGACAGGGAGAGAAAGAGGTGCAGTTGGTTTACCAGTATGTCCGTCATTTTGTGAGGGCGGGAAGTCAGTCAGAGTGCGAGTTGTCAACGATGTTAGCAGGCCGGACACATGCATGTCATCCCCCCTTCTGCCTCGAACCTTTCCTTTATAAATATACACAAATACATGGACACACACACACACACACGAGGGGAATGCATAAATGTACGTGCAAACATGCCGTCACGCAAATATGTCAAACAGAAGTACACAAGTACAATACAAAAGCACACACAGTCATACATGAATATGTGTGAAATCCCACAAGAGCATGCAGTCGTGGGCCATAAATATAATTTACACACACACAGAGCAGACAATCCAACACAGCATATAACACACATAAAATGACCCCACAATCCCAGGGGAATGTACATTTATCCACAAAAAGGGTGCACACACACAAACACAAACACACAAAGAGAGAAAAAGGCTATAGTCAGTATGATTGCGTACCAATCACCTACAATGGTAGGCACAATACTCTGAGAAAGGTATAGCATTTCACAAATCTGATAAACATAAACTAAGTTTCACTGAAATGATGATCACATTTTTTGTAAATTACCAGAAAAAGAAAAGGATGTAAACCCTCTCAGGCTGTCTCAAGATTACCTCATTGAGAGCTAGAGAAAGTCTTTTCCTGGTACATCATAGTATGTCATTACTAAGATGGTGTGTATTTTAGTTTCACACATTAATATTCCATTAGATGAATTATCAATCAAAACAATCAGTTGCATTCCTGTGGTGGGAAATTCTGCTGAATCTGTATCAGCAATGATTCTGTCTTTACTTAACCATGATGTGACCAGGCCATGTTTTTGCTGTCATTTAAATTCACTGACCCAGTTTGTAGTGTTACAACAGTCTCTGGTTTACATGCTGTTACCTTACATAAAAACAATGTCAGTTGGTTTCATGCAGTGCGGTGTACAGACACAGGGGCACAGGGAGCACTGGATAAAGTGAACTGAGGTATCACATTAGGAGAGAAAAAGTTCAATGGGTGCATCCCTTGAACCCATTAATGATTACTGGACCAGCACATAGCTAAAACACAAAACTAAAGCATCACCAAATATTTCAACCACGACAAGGTTAAACATTATATAATACTGGACTAATTCAGGGTGTTAACATCAGGTCATACTGGACCAAACACTGGATACTGGTCCAAAATTGAGATAAGCAATCTGTGAATACAGGACCAAACAAGGGCTAAGTCACAAGAGAATACTGCCATCAAATGTTAAATAAAAAAAAAAGGATGGCAAATGCAACATATCGACACTGTGATATGAGTTAAACACTTGAGGATATGGAAATGTACCCCTAGGGTTCATTTTGCTTTGAAATTAACCTTAAGTGAGCCAAGTGAATTCCACATTGAAACCAGGAGACCAATGCTTATTGTGTCATTTACAAACCACAATTCCAATGAAGTTGGGTCATTGTGTAAGACATAAATAAAAAAAGAACACAATGACTTGCAAATCCCTTTTGACCCATATTTAACTGAGCACACCACAATGACAAGATATTTAATATTCAAACTAATAAACTTTATTGTTTTTTGCAAATATTCACTAATTTTGAATTTGATGCCTGCAACATGTTCCAAAAGAGCTGGGACAGGGGCAAGAAAAGACTGGGAAAGTTGAGGAATGCTCAAAAAATACCTGTTTGGAACATTCCACAGGTAAACAAGCTTATTGGAAACAGGTGAGGAACGTCATGATTGGGTATAAAAGGAGCATCCCAAAAGGCTCAGTCATTCACAAGTAAGGATGGGGCACGGTTCACCACTGTGTGAACATCTACGTGAGCAAATAGTCCAAAAGTTTAAAAACAACATTTTTCAACGTACAATTGCAAGGAATTTAGGTATTTCATCATCTACGGTCCATAATGTCATCAAAAGATTCAGAGGATCAAGAGCAATCTCTGCACGCAAGCAGCAAGGCTGTAAACCAGCACTGAATGCCCGTGACCTTGGATCCCTCAGGCAGCACTGCATTAAAAACAGACATCATTCTGTAAAGGATATGACCACGTGGGCTCAGGAAAACCACTGTTAGTTAACACAGTTTGTCACAACATCTACAAGTGTAAGTTAAAACTCTACTATGCAAAGCAAAAGACAAACATCAACAATGCCCAGAAATGCCGCCGGCTTCTCTGGGCCTGAGCTCATCTGAGATGGACTGATGCAAAGTGGCAAAGTGTGCTGTGGTCTGACGAGTCCACATTTCAGATTCTTTTTGGAAATCATGCAGAGGTTTACTGTCACTGCTAAAAGTATATGATTTATATCTCCATAAGCAAGGTATGACTGGGCTTACTCAAAGTAAAGTTTCATGTTGCTTTTGGACCTTCCCTGTACTTTCAATTCAATTGTAAAGGACTGCAATGTAAGGCTGAAGATGAATTTTAATACACGATCAATCGACTCATTTAGGTCATGTTAATGTGGTGAATGGACTTCTATTTTCAAGCACATGGTTGATACAGCTCATCCAAATACACTGCTTGTTTAGGTCTGGCAAGAACAGCTTCAGAATACACGACATCAAAATAACTTCTCATGAACAAAGTGAATGTTAAGATTTTAATTTAATGTATAAAGAATCTTTTTTCTGTTGCACACTGACTGCAGGAACTAGAGGTGAAAAAAATATGTTAATGTATCAATTAAACACTGAACAGAAAAATAATCATTATGGTTAGGTTTTAGCATACCGGTTGACACACTGAGCTTTGAACATTGTGAGCATAATTTCTCATATTTTCTAGGTCAAATGATGTCTGGAGAAAATGATTACCAGAATCAATAATGAAACAAATCATTATTTGAATCCCTATACTTAACAGCAACAAAAAAACAACTATTGTAGCTTTAATTTCGTAGCCTGTTTTTGAAACAGGAACAACCTTTTACTTATAACTCCAATTTTAGTGGCTTTTTGCTGAGTTCATGATGTTCAAGAAATGACATTGTCTTCTGTGGGCTCTTGATGAGATTCCTTCAAAATCCCAATGGATAACCTCAAAAAAGTGTGGTGGACGAACTAAAAATAAGGCGGGTTTTTTTAGTTCCTGGACAAACATTTGATAGTGGGGAGATCTGAGGTGTCCCTGTAACATCAGTGATGACATGGGAGTACTAATTTATTATTGATTTTTAAAACATGAACTCAACCACACAGTGACCAGTAAAATCACCAGACAATCATAACACACGATAATAACAAAGACACACACACAAAAATAGCAACCACATACACCCCACTAATGTAAAGATGGGCTGAGAGAGAGAAAAAGAGTAAGTGACACAAAGGGGGAAACACAAAACGTGAGACCAAAATGCAGAAAAGACCAGCTTGAAGAAAAGAGGAAGCAAGCAACAGACACAGTGAAGAAAGACACAGGAAGTGTGTACCAACTGGCAACAAGCAGGAGGAAAAGCACGTGTACACTCCTGATCAGGTGGAAATCAGTATCTGTGAGCTGGTGTGTGAGCCCCCAGTGGTAGCCAGACACCTCGTTCCCAGAGCGCCAACACTGCTGATATTGGTTCCCAAAGCAGTACACAAGTGCTAATTTGGGGGAAAGCCCCACATAATTGATAGGTCTGATAGAAGAGCAAAGTGAATTCAATGATTTCTGAGAGCATTTTCACACTGAATGCGTTTGAAGCCTTTTGTTTTGAATGAGCATTTAAAATGTCTCTGGTTTATTCGGTCACGTGAGAACGAAGACTTTACACCAGTGAAGCTCACAGAGACGTGTAGAAACCCAAAAACAAATCTCACTTCTCTTTCATAAGCATTTGTTTTTTTAAGGGGGGGGGTTGAACTGTCTCCAGGATAGGACACCCCCACCCCAAACTTTCAGATTTATGAGGATTAAAACGAGATGGATGTTGACATCTGATGGCCTGCAGTTCCACAAGCTTGGACACACCAAACTGAGAACAGTGAAGAAATGTGCATTGCCGTACTTTCAAAACCTGACAAGCATGACACTTCCTTCCACCTTTATTTCTGATTTCAAAAGCACCTTTCTATGCAAAGCCTTCCCCCAAAGCTGTCCAGTATGATTTATGAACAGGTATTTACTCCATAATGAAGGGATGAGGAGACGCGGAAAGAAAGGGAGGGGTCAGTTATATACAGTAATATCATCTCTGCTCAAACCATGTTTACTTTACCACAACAACAAATTCATTTCTGCTTTTTAGTGCCTCTTCCTCATGAAAGTGCCTAACCAGGCTCTACACCTTATAAGGTCATAAATAGTAATTAGACCTGATTCCTAAAAATCCCAATAGGAATTTTAAAGCTGTAGTTTATACAAAGGTTGTGAAGATAATACAATAAGACTGCTACTGGACTGTTATAAATAGTATGTACAGTAGGAACGTCATAGTATCAATACAGAAACGTATCATACTACAGCAAGGGCACTGTGAACTCACAGAGACACTGCAGGAAAAGTAAAGGAAAACTGTGCTTTTTTTTTTTTTTTGCCAAGGTCCCAAACACCAGCTGATGAGCTCTTCAATGTGTGACTGAGTCTGTGAAACATGGTTGGGGTTTAATTCGCAGTCCAACATGACAAGAGCAAGGTACTGTCAGAGTTTGAGGTGTTTGGTCCCTATGAGGAACTGCAGCCACTGTTAATTTTCTTTTTTTTCTATTAAAGAAACGTGTGACATCACTATAATATAACAGTAATTTGTAATATTTCTAGACAGACTTCAACTGTCAAATGGTCAAAATCAAATCCATCTAATTAAGTAAACTAAAACTCGGGCAAAAACCCTTAAGCAGCACTTTAGTCTGTTACATTTTCACCTATGCCTTCATCATAAAAGTGCAATGTTGTATCGTGAATTTAAAACCTTCTTCACATTGTCAAACTAAAGATACTGTTTAAAGAAAAAGAAAACAAATAAAATATGTTTCCTCTTTTTTGCCATACATTCTTCTTGCTTGTAGAAACAAGAAGCGGGCAACAACATAAGCCTCGTAAGCTCACTTCATTCTAACTCCGCATCATACAATCTGCTACAAGATATAGCCAGAGTCAGGTAAGCATCCTAAGTCATGACAGTCAGGTAAACTGCACAGACGTAAACTATTCATGTCCCAGTTTACGGGAATGTCATAACTCAAGGAAGCTCATGTAGCCAGCTGTCATTTTTGTTACTGTTTAACTTAAAATAACTTTTTTGTGCACACTGGAAAAACTCCGCAAAGTAGACATACTTCACATCTGAACCATTTAAAACAAGTAACATTTAGCTCAGATGAAACACGTTTACTGAAAAAACGGTTTAGGCAGTACCGCCGCCCACCCTGATCCTGGTTCTGTCTGAGGTTTCTTCAGATAGACAGAGTTTTTCCTCTCCACTGTCCCCAAGTGCTTGCCCAAAGAAAATATGTTGGGTTTATCTCTATAATCCTCCAAGGTGCTGACCTTACTATGTAAAGTGCCTTGAGGTGATTTTTGTTGTGATTGGATTCAAAATTAACTAAAAGGCACTAATGCAAAGCTCAGTCTTGCAGTTTTAAGAATAGGTACTGGATCTACATACATCTTTATACCCAGCCCTAAGATTACATTTTTGTAGCCAATGTATTCATCCTATCACCAGCAAATAAGTCTCAGTTACACAATTATAGACCACTACAACAAAACTGACTTTAACAAGTATACTGGTCCGATTCAACCGATCCAGATCCAAATGACATGCTAATTTAGGTTAGGGTCATTCAATTTTGTGTTTTTGCTGGCAGTTACATTTCTTTATGATACAGGCCCATAGCTGTTTCAAGCACTACAGCAATCCCTGGCCTCATGTCACCTTACATAACAAGAGCACTCAGAGAGTGCATGTACCTCTGCCAAGGCACAACATTCGCTCACACATTGCCTGTGAAAAATGAGATTCAGAACAACACAAAATGTGTCCTAAAGTCTTTCAACCGGGTCAGATCTGGATCATCTTTTAGTGTATGATAGTCAGATATACTGTGCATCTTACCTGAACATTTAAGGGTTCTATCTTCATGATAGGCCATGTTATGGCAGAAAATATGATTTATGTGGGGTTTTCAACGTTAAATTCAGATGTGGAATCCGGATCAGATGTGGATGAAATTTGGTCTGGTGACAGACATTGTCACCCTACAAATGATTTTGATAACTACTGACAGACATATGACATTTTTTACATTTTGCCCCATGTTGTACAAAGAATGCTGATGACCCATCCAGCCGTTTGTCTGTAATCCTCCAAACCATCCAACAAACGCACACACAAAACCAAAAACATAACCTCCTTGGTGGAGGTAAAAATTATTCCAGTGAATTTCAGACAGTTTGGTTTTGAGATTTGTAATATGAGGAAAAATACAGCAGTAGTTTTAGATCAGTATTTGCAAATGCCAAAAAACCTGACAAATTTGGTATTGGTGGAAAAAGTCGTATCAGTGCATCCCTAAAATGGAACATATATTGCACAGATATGATTGTTATACATCCTAAGAACAGATACTGAAGGAAAATCCATCAAACTTGAACATATCACCAATTCCCAGTTTTGTCTTACTATCAACCAAGCAAAGCAAGAATAAGACCTGAGTACATCAACAAGATTGACTAACAAAATGTTGAAAAACAGATGCCATCTGTGGCCTCTGCGGATACACAAGTAATATTCTAGTGATATAAAAACTATAATTTATTACTCTGTTAAGGTAATAGTCTAAGTCTGGAACATAAAAGCTGATGCTCGTTCCAACAACCCAACAATTTGGTGGGTTTTTCTCTCTTATACTGTAAGATCTGGACCTTACAGTGTAAAGTGCCCTGAGATGATTTTCGTGGTGAATTGGTGCTACACTGACTAAAAAAACAACAACTGAACAATGGAGGACATCTACTGTTCATAAAGTACCCTTTGTTTTAGAGTGTCAAATTATGCAACATTATGTCATGACACTAATGAGTTTTGCACATATGACCTTGTAATTCATTGGCAAAACTGAGTTGTGTGTCATTGACTGGTGGCCACAGCCAGAAGATACCTCACACACTAGCAAGAGTGTTAGGTAGCAAGCTTATTGTGTCTACAAAAAACTAAAATGAACAGCTGCAACATCTACTGAATCATGTATCAAGTGAGAAAGCATGCTACACCACAGATCTTTTGCACTGTATCTTGCATCTTGCTTGAGAAGATAAGATTGTAAACAGAATAAGCTAAGATAGCACTCTTCCTGTCTGGTTTGCAACTTTACCCTCAGCAACTTTATCCATACTGCATAAGCACAGTGGCCTAAGGACACTTTACTGTTGAGTGAAAAAGACATACATGTCAAAGTAAATTAGTGGAGACAGAAACAAGATCTCAATGCAGATTTAGAGTTAAAAAGATTGCATTAAAATCAATGACTGTACAAAACTTGAAATCATAAAAGGTCATGCTAGTTTGACTTGGGCCTTTACACCTTATCTGTGTTACAACTACACCCGTCTTCACCTCTGAGTGGTCCATCCAACAACAGAAGGCTAACAGTCCATTTACTGTCAACTCACTGGTAGAAATGAAGAAAACCAAAATAAAGTACTTTAAAAACTTATTTTCTCTTCTTCCTCAGTTTTCTACCAATGAGCTTGTTTGTGTGTTTTTGCACGTCTTGTTTCATGTTACAGAAAAAAAGAAAGTTAAGCAAGCAGCACTAGACTGAAACACTCCCGCTGGCGCCAATGTCATTAAGAAAAGCGTTTAAAAAACCACCCAGGTAAGGACTGAAAGGAGACACGAGTGCTCCTTCTCTTTGCTCAAAGACCGCTTTTCTGCCGCTCGTTCTTGATAATGAATCAAGGAAGAATGAAAGGAGAGAAGGAAAAGAGGGGGGGGTTGAGGAAGGACAGAGGGGAGGAGGAGGGAAGGAATCACGGAGACCGACCTTTTCCTGAACACCGCGGTGCGAGGAATAGCCCCGCCGCTGACTGGAGACCTGGCACAGGGAAATTAAAGTGAAACCAGCACCCCTCCCCTCATCGTGTTCAAGCTCGTGTCTGCAGCCGATCAGATACTCACAATCTTGGCATTAATAAGATCCGGAGGGCGGTATCCGTTGCGCTTTCGGAGACACATTCGTGGTGTTTTTTTTCGCCCTCTGCCGCTCCACACTGCTGATTGTACCGCTGAAGGTGGTAGTACTTCTGAAGTTTGGAATTTTACCACGAATGCTCCTGTCCTTCGTGTCAAACATAGCAGGACCAACTGAACAGGATAAACACGTTTGTCAGAGCTAAAAACAGAAACGGAGATTTTTATATTACATGATGTTTTTTTAGGAACGGGGCTAATTGTTTAAATAAGAATTTAAGAGTTATTGGATGATGTTCGTAATGCAAAGTTAAAGTGACACATTCAGATCAGCATCAACGGAATATGAGTTCATTACAGTGTGTGTGTGTGTGAGAGAGAGTGAGAGTGAGAGAGAGAGAGAGAGAGAGAGAGAGAGAGTGATCACCGCCCTGGCGGAAAGAGGCGACAGAGCGCATGCGCGATTTCACGTCCATGCAAGCAGATGGAAACCTGGGGTTCTCTATAATAAAACTTTATGTATATGATCATTTTCATTCGTTGTAGATGTTATTACACATCGTAAAAGATCGCGTAAAACCATAATTTAAATAATAAAGTGGGTGTTTTAATAATAAAACTTATCTACCTCTCTATGCATAATGTAGGCATGTAGGCTGTTATTACTGGGCAATCAACTGGTTTTTACACATAGCCTACATTCATATATAATGAACATTGAATTGAATTTATTGTAACTTTACATTGGCAATGGGGGCATATATTTTGGTTTATATACGCAGCAAAAAAGGCCTATATGTGTATGTTTTCTCTGTGAAAAGCAATTTTAATGGCATAGCTGTTCTTTTCTAGAATATAGGTCAATTAGATATAAAATAATTATGACAAAGATACCATGGCTGCAGATTTTACTGAGAAAACTTTAGTTTAATGGTGCATGTGCTCATATAGGCTACATATATCCAGAGGACGTTATAATAAACTTTCATATAAAATTTTCTACATTAGACTAGACTGGGGGCTATATTAATATTACTATTTTCAAATAATTGTTGTAAGTGACACACAATTATAAAACAGATTATTTCTACAGTGTTATTTAGTTTAAATTCTGTATTTAGCTGAGGTCCTCACAGCTGGGTTCACAACATTTCAGTGTTCTTTACATGACACTGCAACTCAGTCTCCTTATCAACCAACAGTGGATCAGTGGGGGGCAACTGACAAAAACTGAAAAAAATAAAACAGATACCTAGAAAGAGGGAGGAAAACAAACCCAGGCATCCTCTGTGTACTAAATTCCTTCTTTCCAGGAATCTCAGTGTTTGTGTTTGCTAAGACACATGTTGTGAATCAGTACAATTAACTACACCAGCCACCACTGGTTTTCTTGAACAACTGTTTATTTATCCATTCATACATCTACACTGGTATATAAGATGTACATGTTGTTGTATTGCTTGGTTCACCCCTATTTTAGCACACAATGTGTGTAACATTTGAAGGTCTAGTTGAAACTCAGTATTTCACCTGCCATGCTTGGTTCCTCGAGTTTCTTAACAAGTTCATCTGTAAGGGATCTTGAATTTTTTTATGTTGCCTTTTGGTTTAAGTAGAAAGCCTTTTAAGTTTTACTTCACTGTGGCCCAAATAAAATTTCGCTTCAAACTACTCTCCTAGAGGATTTTTAAATTTTGCTGTTTGGTTGTAAAATAGGATCAAATCACAGTTTTTTTATGTCAATTTGCTGAGTTTCACCAGGAGACACCAATGTACCAAAGTGATTGCTTCACATGATGTGAATGAACAAATAGGGACAGCAGGGGGCGCCATAGACCAAGGAGAGAGAGAGAGAGGGAGAGAGAGGGAGAGGCAGGGGCTACTAAGAAAATTACAGTTTCTTCTAAGTCTGGTATTGTGAAATGACACTTACATGGGTATAAATACCTGATACCACTAGCATAAAAAGCAGATTTCCTTCAACAATAACCTATCCTGTATAAACAAGTATACTAAGAACATAAAAACACTACTTCTGCTGTTGTGCACAAAGTCAGTACATTCCCCCTTTTTTGTTATATTACATGTAAATCTGCTGCTGACTGTTTTTACCGTCGGATCTGCTGCTGTCAGTCATTTACACTACTGTCCATGTTCATCTCATAACTATGATGCATCTCATTACCAATGCCCCTGGTGATGCTGACCACCTGACAATCTTCTTATTATTATTTGCACTACATGGCTTTGAGTTTCTTCATAGCCTATTAGGTTGTACCATTTAGTTTTATCCTAATTACTTTAATTTAGTTTTCATATTCCATTTATTCTATGTTAATTCTACTTTTATTCTATTTTAGTTTCATAAATAGTATGGTTATTTTGATTTTTCTGTATGTCCTGCACATATAGTGAATTAACAATAAAAAATCTTTGATCTTTTATTTTGATCTTGATCTTAATGCAGAGGTCCAATAGAGTCACTAGAGTCAACAAAGTCAGGCACAGCTTTCCTGCAGAGTAACCTTTATGGCACTGAAAGGTTTCCTGTCTCATTTCCAGTCATGTGTGAGCCCTGGATATACCAAGATTTGGCTACAGAAAATTGGTTGACTAAAGCCTACAAGTTCAGTGAGTTCACTTAGTCACCATTTACCTATGCCCATCACACATAACTGCCAAATATTCTTATTTCCATTCTTTTCCAAAGGCCTATCTCTGTCAAATTATCACCCTTGGGTCAACATAAGACTGACTTTTCATTTTCAGCTAGCTGAATGTAAGTTTGAAGAACAGAGGCTGAAGTATAAACAAATAATCAGCTTGTGGGGCTAAAATCTTTTAATGCTGTCCATCACCCCCTGTTGGCTGGTGCTGGTCTCCACAACCAAATATTATCAGAGGTTAACCTTTGATCGGTGACATGATCCTGAATCATATCTAGAGGCACAAATCTCATCTGTGTGAAGTGTTATCAAATGCATTTCCACTGCCTGAAGTATATCTGCTGTTTTGTAAAAGAAGGAAGGCTCTGTTTAATTGAAAATCTCACTAATATAACAATACAGGGCAAAACATACACAGAGCATGATACTGCTTTCTCTTTCTCAGGTATTCACTTGTGTAAAACATGCTCACTTGATGTAATGGTTTAAAATAATGCGAACATGAGGCTGGCTTTGCTGTAATACAGTAATGTAATACACTAAGCCCGAGACTTGTTGGACGTCCTGAGCAGTGCTTTTGGTCACCACAAGGGGGCAGTGAAGCGGCATATCGTCACTGATGAACACAACCTCTGGAGCATCTATATTCTGCAGATAAGTACTGAGCAACAGCATTTACTCCTGCTGCTCCCTTTGATTTGAGCATCCAAGCTAAGTGTATAGGTTTTATAACCTTTACCATCAAGGTAAGGTCCACTGAGACTATGCTATTTTGTCTCACAATACCCTGATTCATTTAGATTACTCCCAGCCAAAAAGGTTATTTATCCAAATAACAAACCCTGGATAAGAAAGGCTCTTAAATCAGTTATCAACAAAAAGTAACAGACTTACTTTACTGGCAATTCTCTAGAGAAAAAAGCTGTTTCTAGAGAAGTACAGAATGAAATAAGGAAGGGTAAACAAGAGTATAAGGATAAAATCAAATACACTATGTAGAGATCTTAAAACAGCCTGGCAAGGAATTAAGAACATGGTCTCCATCAATCAATGTACAAATGAGATTTAAAAAATCCATTAGCGTTAACGGAGTGGACAATGCTGACCTGCCTAAGATGTTTAACTCTTTATTTCCCACTTTGAAAGGTCTGATGTTATTGAAAAAGTCCTTTCATGTAAACAGTCTCTTGAGTCACTAAATGAAATTGTGATTTCTCAGGAATGTGCCACAGCTTTATTTGAGAAGATTAAGATAAGAAACGCTGTTGGTCCTGATGCCATCTGTGGGTATACTTTGTATTAGTGTGCTGACCAGCTCATTGGCATTTTTACTACACTCTTCCAGATGTGTGCTGACCTCGGCCAGATACCTACAATCTGGAAGACATCAACCATTTTACCTAGTTCTAAATCAAAAAATTAAATGCTCAGACCTGTTGCACTTACATCACTTCTGATGAAAAATTTTGAGAAGGTTTTAAAAACTATCATTGTGTCTTGTATCGATGGCAAACTTGACACTGCAGTTTACCAGCCACATTAAGGTTTGGAGGGCACAAAGCTTTTTATAACACTATGTACAAGCTTCTAGAGAAACCCAAATTTCACGCAGGACTTTATTCATAGATTTTACTTTTGGCCTTCAAAAAGATGCAGCTTCATATTCTGACTGAGAGACTTGCTTATTTTAATATTCCAGACCAGCTTCTCTTGCTCCATGACAGGGTCCAGCAGGGTTCTGTAAACTCATTTGCTTAAATAAATGGTCCTATGATGTTTCAGGTCAACCTGACGCATTTAAAACGCAGGGGAAAAAATACTTTTTTGTTAGGACTGTGGGGCTTTGTTGTAGAAAAGGGATATGACTCATGTAAAGTGTTATTTGTAACTTTACATGTTTACCTTCTAGAGCTACTGGTCTGGTCAGAGTGACCTGGCAGTGAGAAAATCTATGTTGAATTTGCACTTTTCAGCACAATTCAGAGAAGCAGAATTCAGCTAGGCACAGTTTGTCTGGATTTTTTACCTACAGCCTTACCGATGGTGTCAGGTTGAAGCTGAGCTGGGGAGGAGGAAGTGAAACCTTCACCCATGTCTGCAAAACAGGAAATGCAAATGCATGACTACTTCTTCAAAATAAAAAGAACATTTCTGTACATTTGTTCATCTGTAGTGTTCTTAATTACTTTTTACCTAAAGAGACCATGGCTTGCTCTTCTGTGTTTTTTGACTTATCTATAATGTTACAACTGTGAATTTTCATCTTAAACATGACTGAAAGCTCAAAAAATGAGTAGAGTAGAGTAGGTACTTTATTGATCCCACAGTGGGGATACCTATGTTGTAATATTTCTATGCAGACACAACTTCATCTATACACGTCGAGCGAACTCTTGCTTGCAAAACC